GTTAACCCCTTCGGAGCCCCGGGGTGCCTCCGGGACGGTGACGCCCGGGCGGTCCCCGCCCGCCCTCGTCTGGCTGTGATCCGGTTGGCCTGAGCTACGGGGCGTTGGCTACAGAAGAGAGACATCTTCCCAAAGCAAGCACGAAAGTGGCTAATTATTCGAGGGGCGCCACGTAGGGGAGAGGGACGGCGATGGTTCGAGGGGTGAGGAGGAAACACCAGCTAGAAAGAAAATCAGTCGATACGCCTACCTGGCTCTGAGGGTCACTAGTCTAGCTCCCCTCCCGGCACAAATCTGCCCCTACAGCACCCTCTGCTGGACGTGCGTTCTTTCTTTCCGTTCCCCATCCAAGAAGCCCCCCCCCAAAAAAAAACACCAGGAAACTTAGCTTTTGAGGGGGAGAAAGTGGGCCGTTTTGAAGCAAAACAGTATGTGGGGGCGCTTTGTGAACTGGGGCTTTGCTGAGAACTTCCTAAGCAAATGGGTTGACTCCTAAACTAAAATGTAATCCTCAAAATCAATAGGTGTAGAGCCGGGCGTGGTGGCGCACGCCTGTAATCCCAGCACTGGGAGGCTGAGGTAGGAGGATCGCTGTGAGTTTGAGACCAGCCTGGGCTACATAGTGAGTTCCAGGTCAGTCTCAACTACATAGTGAGACCCTGTCTCAAAAAACCAAACAAAACAAAATCAATAGATGTAGGATAAAAGGTGAGAAGATAAAAGCATGGAAATAGAATATCGCAGCTAGAACTGACTTTAGAAATTCCTCGTCCAAGGCAGACCCCTTGTTTTATTTATCGTGTGTTTGGATATACACCACAAGTCAAAGGCACAGTGAACATGAAATATTTGTTGAGCAAATCTGCATTTTGCAACCCAAAATTACCTTTCCACTTCAGCCCCTGTTTTTCTCACATACGCACCTTCATTCATTCATATTCATTCATATTCAAAAGAAAGGGGCTGACCTGTGACAGGTATTAATTGTTCCACTGTGACCAAATTGGAAAGCAACAAGAGCACAGTTATTTGCAAGCATGGAGTGCTCAGAGGTGAGCAAAAAGCCCCGCAAAAGGAAGTTAAGAGTTTTGTATAATAAATCAAAGTAGGAAGAAATATTATCAGCCAATATCCAAGAAATTATCTGTGAATACCTGAATGAGGAGTTTGTACACATCTGAAATCCAAATGAGTGCTCTGAAGAAAAACTAGAAAAACTCTGGTATCAGAAGAGGAACGGTTCAGTACGGTGCAGAAAAAAAAAAAAAAGATACCAGATCCCATAATGGGTAGATCTCTGTTGGAGAGATAAGCGCACAATGACTCATGTCATCCAAGTAGTTTTGCTTTATTTGTTCATTCAACACTTTTTAAGTTATTTAACAAAATATTTATAGTCTAATAAGCATCAGGTACTGTACTAGATTATAAGATTGAGGGTGGAAAGACAAATGTAGTCCCTATCCTTATAGGATGCCAGAAGACCATTTCACTCCCACTTGGATGGCTATAATCAAAGAGATGGACATTAACAAGTTTTCGTGAGAAGGATAGAAATCAGTATCTTCATACCTTGCTAGTGGGAATGTAAAATGGAGCAGCTGCTTTGGAAAACAGCCTGACTGTTACTCAAAAAGATTAAGACAACAATATAACCTAGTGATTCCACCTATAGATATATTTCCAAGAAAAATGACAGCATACAGGAAAAGAAAAACCCATGATTTATTTGAAATAGCCAAAAACTGGATACAAAGTAAATATCTAACCACTGATAAAAACATAAAGCAAGTTTGGTATATTAATACAATTGAATATTATTTGGCTATAAAAAGGAATAAAGTCCTGGTATCTACTACAAGATGAGTGAACCTTAAAAACATCATGCTAAATAAAACAATCTAGTAATTTTAAAAAGTGCACACTGTATGATTCCACTTAAATGAAATGTCCAGAGTAGGCAAATCCACTGAGACAGAAAGATTAGTGGTTACCAGAGCCTGGAAGAAGGCAAGAATGGAAAATGACTACTAGGATTTTTTTTTTCCCCCTTCTCTTCTCTTTTCTAATTTTGTGTGCATATTTGGAGAAGGGGAGGAGGTACTTGGCATTGAACCAGGGCCTTCACACTGAAGTACATTCCCAGCCCTTTTTATTGTTTTGAAACAGGGTCCCACTAAGTCCCTAAACTGTCAAGACTGAGCTCCACCTTGTGCTCCTCCAGCCTCACCTCAGCCTCCCAGAATGCTGAGCTAATGAATGTGCATCAGCACACCTGGACTACGTTTCTTTTTGAAAAGATAGAAATGTTCTAGAATTAGATAATGGTGATAGTTGTACTCACTTGAGTGACTTTTGCCCAATTGAGGTAGATAATATATTTTACATTTTAATGTCTGTGTCAGGTGTTATGACTTGTATCTAGATGTTCCCCAAAGCATCATGTACTCATAGGTGGGGCTTTTCAGACCTGGTTAGATCTAGGGTGTGTGATGCTAGGATTAAGAGTGCCCCACCCTGGGTGCAGGGGGCCACACCCAAAAGGCAGGTAACCTGGGAGGAATAAAAGGAGAGGCTACCGCTTTGCTGCTACTGCTTCTGTACTTGCCTGCTTTTCTGCCTTCCATGAACTGTTTTTCCTTTGCGATGCCCCTGTGCCACGCCACCCTGCCTTGGAGCTGGCCGACTACAAAGTGAAACTTTTCCTCCACAAACTGAGAGCTACCATAAACCTTTCCTCCTTTAACTTTGGTTGTCATGTATTTTGTCTCAGCAACAAGAAAAGTAACTGTGATGTCGGATAAAGCTAGATAGATATATAGATAGATAAAATGTGCACCCCATGCACCCTGAAAAGGTCAAGCAACCAGTAGACGCAGAGCTGGGCTTCTAAACTCTACAGTGAAAATGCTCATCATGGAATCTTCAGAGAGCAATTCTGTTCTCCCTGTATGAATTAAATGAGGCAACAGGCTGGCATGGTGGTGCACATCTATAATCCCACTTGGGAGGCTGAGGCAGGAGGATTGCCATGGGTTGGAGGTCAGCCTGAACTACATAGTGAGACCCTGTCTCAAAAATAAATAAATACATAAATGAATGAATTCAGTGACAAAGATTAGACTTAGTTAAGAAATTACACCTCTGGCCTAATGAAGGTTACCTACTACTAATGAAGGTTATCATAAACCCAGCTCTCTCACACCTGGCACCCTGAACATCAGAGCTCCTGCCTTGCAAAGGTGAGTCCCCTACTATCTGGAATATGATATCACCAAGCTAGGGTGCCCTGTGGAACCCTGCATGACAACCTTTCTCAGGCAATGCCCTTGCTATCTCCTTGTACAATTATGCAAATTACAGTTTTCTCCCTGAAATGAAAATATTAAAATAGAGAGTTGGGAAACCTCTCCATCCAGTATCTTCTTCTTCACTTCACCTGGTAGGGAATGACTCATGGCAAGCACCAGGTATCCGCCCAGGCCCACAGTCTCAGATAAGTTTCATGTTGTCATTTGTTGCATCAAGAGTCCAGTGTATTTTCTGGTCCAGTTTCTTGAGTTCTCAGTTTAAACTCTAAACTTTGAAAATTAACAGGTTACAGTCTGGAGGGTGCAGCTTAGTGATAGAGTCTTGTGTGCACAAGGCCCTGGGCAGTGGCAGGGGTTTTTTTTGGGGGGGTGCATTTTGTCAGTGCAAGGATATCCAATCAGAATTGACTGTAGCTAGATTTGGAGCTCTTTTGTTTTCACTTGCATGTTCTCCCTGACCCTGAGTGAGCTGCTTCGTGGCACTCCTTCAGCTGCAACTCTGGGTTAAACTGCCAAACTGCTGACCCACCTAGCACAACAGCCAGGAGAAAGAGCTAATAAAATTGCAGTGTCGCCAAAGTCCTTTGCAAATGTGTAAACTATGCTGCAAAGCCCCAGTTTTAAACATCCTCAAAAGAATATAAGTCTAGGGTTTGCACAGTTCAAAAAACAGGGGGAATGGCTCTTTGAAGCCTACTCCCGGCAGCAGTGGAAAGCTATGGTCTCCTCCCTGCCTGCGTCCAAGAGCCACAGGTTGGCAAGGATATCTCAAAGCCTTGAGAAAAGTCTCCCAGTGAGAAGCATCTTCCTAAGTCCTCTCAGAGCTCTTTACATTTGTACTGTTTTGCTTGGAAAGGGAAAATTTAAGCAGAGAAGCAAC